TTTCCAGTTCAGCAGAAATGATTTCCTCTACTGTCAAAGGTTGAAAATTGGTATTCTTCGAAGTCACTGGATTGTCTCCCTTTACCTTATTTCTACATGCTGTCATTAAAATCTTCTTGTATCTTAAAATGTAAGCTATACATCTTTTAAGGCGAAACCATGAGGAGAATCTATTGAATATCCTTTTTACAATGTCTATATCATTTCCAACAACTAAATTACATTTCTTCTCGATCTGAGGAAATATTATCCTGTACATCAGGCTGTCGCGGCCATTCATTTTCTGGTAAATACAGGAAACCCGGCCCCAGTATCCAACTCTGATTCTTGAGTAATTCATTCGCTGTGACGCCTCTTGAACTTTGGTCACTTGGATTCAGTTTTGTGTAGACGTAGAACTAGTCGGAAGGTTCTGAACCATCTCTTATACACGGTAATATGTTTGCGACAAAGGTGTGAAATCGTTTAGTTTCATTATTAATATACTTGATAACAGAAGTGCTATCAGTCCAGAAGAATGCTCTTTGGATAGGTATTTCAAGTTCTTGTCTTAAGATTTTATCTAATCTTATGGAAATCGTAGCAGCTGATAACTCTAGCCTTGGTATGGTAATCTTCTTTAAAGAAGTAAGACGCGACTTTCCAATCATAAAGGCGCAATGAATCTTGCCGGTTGAGCTTACTAATCTCACGTAGAAGACGGATCCGAAACCGACCTCTGATGCGTCTGAGAAGTGGTGTAATTGGTATTGAACGACTTCGTCAAAATTTTGGTATTATACATCGTTGTATGTTGAATTTAGCCAACTTGGGTAGATCTATTAACCATGTGTTCCATCTTTTCAAGAAGTCTTCAGTTATAAGAACATCCCATCCATACTGTAATCGACATAGGTCCTGTAAAATCATCTTTGCCGGTAAAGTGACTGGTGCTACAAATCCCAAGGGGTCATAGATAGAGCTTACTATTGAAAATATTCCGCGTCTAGTCGCTGGTCTTGAAATCTCAAATCCAAATGAATCAGTGGCTACATTCCATCGAATTCCTAAGGTTCTTTGGTCTTGAGCCTCTTCAAACTTGTGGTCGTGTACTATAGCTCTTTCTGATTCGGGTATAGTATTTAGTACATCTTGTGAATTTGAAATCCATTTAGTAAGTCTGAATCCTTGTCTTGGCAATAATTCTCTTAAGTCTCTGGTAATTTCTCTGGCTTCATCTTCAGTAGAGGTTGATTTCAAGAAATCATCAACGTAAAAATTTCTGTGTATACAGCTGATCAGCTCTTCGTTCGAAGTGTCATTTGCAGTCTGTAACAAGGCAAAATTGCAACAACTTGGTGAAGAGACGGCACCAAAGAGGTGTACTTTCATTCTATAAGTAGACGGTTCTTTCTTGATGTCATTATCTGGCCACCATGAAAATCTTAAGGCATTTCTGTGTTCTATTGGTACGTGAACTTGATGAAACATTGCTTCAATATCGGCTAACAATGCTATGTGTTGTTGTCGAAATCTTGACAGAACTCCTACGAACGTCTAAGTCAGATTAGGACCTTGTAGAAGACATTCATTCAGTGATGTTCCGTGGTATCTTGCAGAACAATCATATACTACTCGGAACAATTCGGAACAACTATCTTCTCTGCATAACCATGATCTAGCAGGTTAGCAATGAATTCAGAATACTTGTCAAATAAGTTTGGGTCTGTTAGTAGTCTTCGTTTTAGGAGATGTAATCTGTGCTCTGCTAATGGTTTATTATCAGGCATACAAGGGGGATAACTCTTCCATGGTAGAGCTATTTCATAGTGCTTTTCTTGATTCAACTTGACTGTTTGCTCCATTATTGACACTGCTTTACGGTCTTCTTGTGACATTTCTTTGTTAACTTCTACAATTGAATCGTTGAATCTCTGTTACAGAATTCCTTGAATTGTTCACTTAATCTTTCGTCGCACTTCATGAAGTTAGCTGTGTGTCGTTTACAGAATGTTTCTCTGCTTAATGGTCCGTTGATAACCCAACCAAGTTTGGTACGTACAGCATAAGGACTTTCATCTTTACTAGGCCTTATTTCAAGTGGTTCAAGAGCAGATATGTTGTCATTTCCAATGAACAAACAACATCGGCATCTACATCAGGTAAGTTGATATCCTTTAAGTGTGGTCATTCTTGTGTCGGTACATCAGACTTGGAAACTGGTATGCTTGGTCTTGATAGAACAAAGGGTAAATCAATGAGGTTTATTTCATCTAAATCATAGATTTGTAGGCTGACAATTTGACTCTCTATCAGACTATCTTCTTTGTCAATAGTGGTGAGTGATATACATGTCTTCTGTCCTTGTATACCAGGTTTTCTTAGTAGCCTATCAGTGCAGAAAGACGTATTAGAACCATTATCTAACAGTGAACGAATAGTGATGGAAGGTATTTGTCCAGTAGTTTTCACCTTTACAGTAGTAACTGATAAACCAATAAAGGGTGATCTTCCATCAGTAGAAGTGGAGTTAGTTTGTGAAAACCCATTCTTAACATTAGCTATTGCAGTAGGATCTTGCATAGTATCTGGTGGTTTTCCGCTGTTTCAAGGTACATCATTGATATGGGTAGGTTGGTGTAGCAGTGTGTGGTGTCTTCCGTGGCATTCCTTACATCTAAACTTACTCTTACAATTTTTTGATTTATGATCATGGTAAAGACAGTTAAAACAGAGACCTTTAATCATAACTGTCTTTGCTCTCTCTTCAAGGGACAATCGTTGAAATATGTTGCAAGACGATAATTGATGATCTGAATTACATTTAGGGCATCCACCTGAGGATTGTCCTGTCATTAGGCTTGAATAATTACAATAAAGTTACTATAAGATGACTGTCTGTTATCAACTTGTAAGAAGAAACTTGAGCCACTAGGTTTGTAGTGCGGGATTCTCTTCTTGTCGTATGATCGGTCCCTGGAATCGTTGGCATTGTGGATGTGTAGGTTGCCGAATACAGGGTGTGTTGTGATCCTGGGCTTCTTTGTCAACAAATTCTACTATATCATCTAGAGTTATTTCACGGTTGTATCTTTCTGCTATTGAATCTGCTACGGTACGCCACCTTCTTCTTATATCATATGGGAGTCTGTTTAATACCTTCTTTAAACTATCTGCACTTTCAATCTTGGAAATGTAGCCTATTTCTTTGAGTGCATTTTTACATGTTGTAAGGGCTATAAACAGTTTTTGTAGAGCTTCTCCATCTTCTGATTTTATAGGAGGCCCTTGTGTTAATTTATCAACGTATGTTGAAGCAATTCTGTAATTCTGTCCGAATCTCTTCTTCAACAGACGTCTGGCTTCATTACATCCTTCTGGGGGTTTCATAGATAGACAGCTGCGCATCATTTCCTTTACGTCTCCACTAGTATACTGAACTAGATAATATAGTCGTGAATTATCATCTTCTGTCTTCGTTTCTATGATATTTTCAAAGGCTCTGATGAATCCATTGTTTTCAAAGGGATCACCATTGAAAGTGAGAACTTCTGAATTGGGTAATTTAAGGGCTAATGCACTCTGTTGTTGTTGTTTCAATACCTTATCCAGATGATCTTGAATCAGTAGAGGACTTTCTACTTGGGTCATTACTTAAAGTAGACGACAAATCCTCCATGTTTTGGTGTACAATCGGTACATCATCTTGTAATTCTACAACTGGTTGCGAAACATCGCATCTTGGATTAACTTTAATTTCTTTTTCGCCATCTTCAGCTGCTATAAATTCTAACAACTCTTGTTCAGCCTTTGATACTCTGAGTCTGGCCTCTAGTGCCTTTATCTTCTTGGACCTGGGAGTATGTGCATCATTCACAGTCTTATGGGGGACAGGGGTAACAACTCTTGGTGTTTCTGTATTTTCTGTGTTATCTTCTTCAAAATCTTCAGAATCTTCGGAATTGTTATCTTCAGTTTGTTTTTCAATTTGAGCCACTATCTGTATTGTCGGCTTGTCGTCATATCTACTGCCAGATCGTGTTACTTTAGGTACAGTCATGCTGGCAGTGTCTTGGTTACGTGTATCACCTATGATTTCATCACCATTTTGATCCATTTTTAAATTATTCTTATACTTGTCTTATTTCATTCATGTGTTTAGACGATCATATTCAAACTAATGTAACCGCCTATCTTTGTAGTTACAGGGCATTTTAGGGAGGGGAAATTCAAACGAGTCCTTCTTTGTACATGTATCAATTTAATAGGATAAAACTTGCAGTAAAATGTAAGCAGTAAAATTCTAACTGTAATAAGAACTGTTTGTACGTACGAAGAACTATGAACTGTTTCTGCAAAAACAACAATGTTTGTATAAGTAGATGTACACAATGGAATAAATGTATTTAACCTTATAGCCTTTTTATGAATTATTGCATGATAATATGACCAAAAGAGTAAAGCTTATTACATACAGAATATAAGAGGGGAGAGCCAGTTCGGGACAGAACCAGCCGATACAAAGCTAGGGAACCTAGGTTATCACATCACACATGCACTGTTATGAAGTGAAATCTTACTTATTACTAAGTACTGATACATAACCTAACCATATTTAGACATATAATGTAATTAAAATGAGTACTGACAATATCACATCGAACTTACGAATATGTTGAACGTTTCCAATCTTAGATTGACATAAGGTATAGATAAAAAAATGGTGATGAATCAAGGCGTCTTAGGAAAGAGACTAGGGGTAGTTTGGCTGCTCAAAACCCATATGCTCAGTCTAGGTTTTCCAGTTACAAGCTCATGATAATCTTCCAATCAAAAGACAAAAAGGAGTTATCTCCCCTGAATCATACAGTTTAACATTAAGGCTGTGCCTACAACAGTATATCAGAATCAGTTATTGTACAGGCTTGTATTGATATCAGGATTTATAAATTCAGATTGAAATTCCTGTGTTAGGTTTTATTTTATTATTATTATTATTATTATTATTATGTTACTTGCAGGATATCACGGAGCAGTTTGTAGTGAAAGGGTAGAGAACTTATGCGTATTAGATCTATGTATGAACAATGGATCTTGTGTTGGGAATAAAACCCACTTCCAATGTTTATGTCCTCCAGGATTTACAGGTTCACACTGTGAGGTTAACATCAATGAGTGCCAACCTAAGCCATGTATACATGGTGTTTGTGTCGACTTCATCGACAAATACCAATGCTTTTGTCTGCCAGGTATGTTCTCTACAATATATTTTATTATACAAATGTTCGTTTTCAATCATTTATTTACATAAAAATAGGTATGAGCGTACTATGGACTATAAATCGAGTGTGAAGTCATCTGAAATTGTGACGTTATATCAAAAATCGATGTGCAGTTGTCCGGGGAAAAGGTATGCCACGTTTCATATTGAGCGTACTTGAACTGGAGGAGCCTTAGGATTTTTTCGACGATCGACTCAGTTCCTCATGCTCCACAAATTACAGTGAAGATATACTAATGTCGTCACCAGTGTTCATTTTATACCTTGTTTATATAAACTTTACAGTGGAGAAAAGGGAAGGAATCAATAAGCATTTGGGGATCGAGTATCATGAACCCAAGGAATCACTAACCTAGTATATTTTTCTGGGATTCAAATAAGTTGTCATTCAAAAAGAAACACACAGATTGTCTTTATTTGGTAAAAACAATCAAAATGTTCTAATTTTTTACTTTATAATAATTTATAATGCCAAAAAAAAAATGCATTAATAGGTTACTATGGGGGAACGTGTAATATGGAATATGATCTGTGTAACACTTCACCGTGTAAGAACCATGGGATATGCATAATGGAGGTAGATTCTTACAGGTGTCACTGTCATCCAGGACATACTGGACCAAACTGCACGAAAAATGTAAGTTAGTCTACGTGTATTTTATATCTATAAACTATAACACATACTTATGGAAGAATAATTACTGATTTATTTAGGCGACGTATCGAAGAGTATTCTCTCAGCGTTTTAAAGCAAGTACAGTAACAATTGTTGTTTTTGTTTATTACAAAATTATCGTCCATTACATATTGCATGATATTATTGACTATTTGATTTAATTAAGTTATTTATATCTGAATGAGTAATATATAGAAGATAGGTAAAAACGGGCTATACAATATACCGGAAACACCGGAAAACAACCGGAAAACACTATGTTATACTGAATACCGGAAAACACCGGAAAAACACTAAATACCGGAAAACACACTAAATACCGGAAAACACCCTAAATAGGTAACCCGGAGAAGGGCTATACTATAAACCGGAAATTAACCCTAATCCTAACCTAGGCACACAGAGGCCTCTCCGGGTTACCTATTTAGGGTGCCAGTCGCCGGGTTCCCTATTTAGGGTATTTTACGGTATTTACATGTAGTGTGTTTTCCGGTATTTAGTATTTTCCGGTGTTTTTCGGTATTCAGTATAAAATGGTGTTTTCCGGTAGTTTTCCGTTGTTTTCCGGTGTTTTCCGGTATATAGTATTGCCGGGTAAAAACACTAAATAATAAAAAAGTTCTTGTATATTTAAAAGTCACTTCACAACAGTTTTAAAGATACAATAAAAAAAAACCCATAAAGATTAGGCCTATGCTAAATCAAAAGAAACGATTGACTTTTCTACTTTGTATACTATAATTACTATGCTTCAATATTTCTATTGGTTTTTTCATGTATTCAGTACTAGGCTTGAAATTTATACACAGTGTTTAAGGTCATGAGACATAAAAGCCTATAGATTTTCAATAATTTCCGATAATTACCTCCAGAGTTATGGCCCTTGATCACTTTGAAAAATCCTATGGACGCTCCATAGATTAATGGTTATATCCGATTGACTTTAAATTTATACACAGTATTTAAAGGACCTAAGTCCGTAACTCAAAATCCTCCAAAATCTTCGACATCGAAAACACGAATTATTGGTCAATTTAAATCAACATTGATGATGTAAACTTAGCGGGAAAAGATGAGCTTCTGATATCCGATATTTAAGATAAAATAATTTTTTTAACATTGGTACACGAATCGTGTACCATAATGCGCTTCAGCCCCAGTTGTATTGAGAGACTCGAGGGGCGAGGCTAGACACATTGCACCAAATCAAATGGAGTTATGTAGACTAGAATAACTAGACGCTAGAAATTTGCACTCGATTGAGATTGCTGACTTGTTTCGCCGAACATAACTGATTTGAAATTGGAGTAAAAACGGAAACCATTAAATGTAAATCAGTTTATATACATTCATATTACAGTATTATATGCGTTGCGACCCACTTTTGTGAATTTCTAGGTCCCAAATGTTAGTGATTTAGGATTTAGCTCCTTTAAGGCCACGAGACGGAGTAGCCTATTGATTTCTGATCTTTACTACTAGAGTTATTGCCCTTGGTCACTTTGAAAGCTAAAATTAATATCCGATTGATTATAGATTTATACACAGTGTTTAGGGTCATGAGATGAGAGATCCTATTGATTTTCAACGATTTCCGATAATTACTGCCTGGATTATGGCCCTTGGTCACTTTGAAAAATCTTGTGGAGGCCCCAGAGGCAAAAGTTGGTATCCGATTGACTTTGGATTTATACACAATGTTTAAGGTCAAGAGATGAGGAATCCTTTTGATTTCCAACGATTTACGATAATTACTGTTAGAGTTATGGTCCTTGATCACTTTGAAAAATCTTGTGGACGCCCTAGAAGCTAAAGTTAATATCTAATTGACTTTAATTTTATACACAGTGTGTAAGGTTATTGATTTCCAGCGATATCCGATAATTACTGCCAGTGTTATTGCCCTTGATCACTTTGAAAAATCTTGTGGACGCTCTAGAGACTAAAGTTGGTATCCGATTGACATTAGATTTATATACAGTGTTTAGGGTCATGAGATGGGGGAAGCCTATTGATTTCCAACGATTTCCGATAATTACTGCCAGAGTTATGGCCCTTGATCACTTTGAAAAATCTCGTGGATGCTCTAAAGTTAATATCCCATTGACTTGAAATTTATACACAGTGTATAACTTCATGAGAGGAGGGGACCTATTGATTGTCAATACTTTCCGATAATTACTTCCAGAATTATGGCCCATGTTACTATATTTTTTGTATAGTAAACGTTCGTAGAGGGCAGAACTAGAAACCAAACAAATTCTTCTGGTTTCTGATAATTACTTAATGGGTTGCTACTCGTACTCAGATTTTAGAGTCGTAAATGTTTTCATTACTGACCAAAGAAAAAAAATATGTGACAACCCTTGTTGACTGCACGGACGACTTAGCTGCTGTGAGTTCCCTTTTGTGCTAAGAAGTTGATTTGCTCCGTCTTTGCAATTTCTTCGGATATAACCTTTAGCCTAAGGAGCGTCCACAAGATTTTTCAAAGTGATCAAGGGCCATAACTATGGAGGTAATTATCGGAAATCGTTGAAAATCAATAGGCTTTTGTATCTGATGACCTTAAACACGGTGTATAAATGTCAAGCCTAGTACTGAATACATGACAAAACCAATAGAAATATTGAAGCATAGTATGCAAAGTAGAAATATCAAACGTTTCTTTTGATTTAGCATAATCTTTATGATTATTTTTTCCAGTGTGCCCACAATGGCTTTCTGTTTGTCAATAAAAAAAGAATTTGTTAATTCTTAGTTTTATTGTTCAAGCAATCTTTCCGATGTGAGAGATTTAAGAAATGAAAGACAGCCGAGATTTTATACAATAATTAATGTTTCTAAATGACATTTTATATGTTTGGCACTCAGTTCAACAGTCAGTTGTATAAAAAAATGCATATTTCTTGTGTCTCAATAGGTCAAGCAACTCGTAAAAATTTGTTATAAATAATAATTATTTTGTAATCTTTAAAAATCTCCCATATTGGGAAAGTGTAGTAGTACGGGAACCCTAAAGGCGATAAAAAATAATAAAGAATACAGATTTAGCAAGTTTATGCAAAACAGAGAAATAATGCTTATTTCAGATTTTAATAAAAAAAAAAGGGGGGGGGGCATAAAATTAATCTGTTCCTGCGCTTCTATTGGTCAGGAGAACAAATGTAACTTTGATATTAGCAACAGAAATTCATTTTTCGATTACTAAAAGGGAGCCACAGTGATGCATGACGGAGGGCCTTGCAAGGGAGAACGTAGAGTCGTTTGGATTGGATGACAAACCTAAATTCCCAATACACATTGGAGTGCACGTAAAATAACCCTTGGCATTTAGAATTTGGTATATCTGTGAGCCGTAGTGCCGCTGTCCGGGCAAAACTGCCCTTATAGAACACTGTATTGCCTATGTCCGTCTCTCTGGGCCCAGTTGGAGCAGAACGGTGGGACGTTAAACCTCCATTTCATTTCATTTCGAATACTAAAAATATCCGAACTCTATTTTTTCTTGACTTTCTTTTTCATACATTTTATTTCTTTTCTGCCCACCCATATGAACCCCTTTGACTTTGCGAACCCCCAAAATAATTTCACGGACCCTAGGATGGGAAAAACTGTTCTAAAACATGTACTTTTCTAATCTACTTCCTGTAATTGGGCCCCTTTATCAATGATAAAAGCCTTTTTAATCACTGATTATATTTAATCATTGATTAAATGTTTAATTATAATCAAAGTTTAAACATGAATTTTAATCATTGATTAGAATAAATTGTAGTCAAAGATTAGCTAATCTGACTTTTGAGAATACCAAACTTAGTCAACCACTAATCTCTAAGGCCCATATTTTCGAACATTGTCTAAAATAATCTGTGATTAGGGCTAATCAGTAACTAGCTAGTTAGAGATAAGTAGTTGACTAAGTTTGGTATTCTCAAAAGTCAGATTAGCTAATCGTTGACTATAATTTTTTGTAAACAACGATTAAAATTCATGTTTAAACTTTGATTATAAGTAAACATTTAATCAATGATTATATATAATCAGTGATTAAAAAGGCCTTTGTCATTGATAAAGGGGCCCAATTACAGGATGTAGATTAGAAAAGTAAACTATTGTCGATTTTTAAAAGTATTTAAGAACTTTAAACTAATACACGGAATAACCAATGTTCCGGCGATGCCTAGATTTGAAATGTCAGTCACATGGACCCTTTCAAAAATAATTTGAAAATGCCAAAGTGCCACACTCCTTATTGGATAATGCCTATCTATCTTACTGAATTAAAATGATTTTTTACCAATATAAAATACCCTTGGCTCCTATATAAATCATCATAACCCCAAAGCCATAAATACTTTGCATATTGCGTATCTAGTATTATAGGACTGACGGGGTTTCGATTCCCCGCTTTCACGTGACAGGGAGTAGAGTCGCCCGTCCAACCTCTTGGGTTTTTTCCAGGTCCTCCCACTACTATAGACCCCTACGCGCAAGCGAATTATTAAAAAAAAATTATCCATGTGTTAGTCAGGATGTCGCAATAGATCCCACAACATAGCTCTAAAAAAGTTTGTTAATGTCGTGATTTTAAGTTAGGAGAGGGTGACGGCTGTCCTAAGTTAAAATTGATTTTAGTTAAAATTGTCCCTAAAATAACTTTGTGAAACGCCACTATTTTAAGTTAAGATACAATTTTAACTTACAATATTATTTTAGTGGATCTAAAATGCTTAAAATCGTTTTGTGAAACGCACCTATCTTAAGTTAGGATAAAATTTTAGTTTAAGACGATTTTAAGGAGATTTAAGTTTTTGTGAAACAGCCCTGCTCCAACTGGGTTAAGGGAGACGAACATACGTCATACAGTGAGCTATGAGGGCAATTTCGCCTGGACAGCGGCACTACGGCTCACAGTTATACCAAATTCTAACTGCCAAGGGTTATTTTACGTGCACCCG